GTGAAAGGCGGAGGAAGGTGTCACACTGCGCGGGGTTACAGCACCCGGGGAAAAGGCGGCTGAGGGGAGACCCCATCGCTCTCTACAGCTGCCTGGAAGGAGCGTGTAGCGAGGTGGGTGGGGGTCAGTCCCTTCTCCCAAGTAACTAGTGATAGAACAAGAGGAAACGGCCTCAAGTTGTGCCAGGGGAGGTTTAGGTTGGATATTAGGAAAAATTATTCACTGAAAGGGTTATCACATGGGAACAGGCTGCCCAGGGCAGTGGTGGAGTCACCATCCCTCGAGGTATTTAAAATTTAGACACACAGATGTGGCGCTTAGAGACATGGTTTAGTGGTGGACTTGGCAGCGCTGGATTTATGGTTGGACTTGATGATGTTTAAGGTCTTTTCCCACCAAAACGATTCTGTTCTATTCAGGAACTCTGACGACCCCTGGGGCAGAGAAGCCAACAGCATCACTGCAGCCAGGCACAGGCAGAGAGAAACAGGCTTCTGACTCCCTCCAGCTGGCACTTGTGCCGCTGCCCTCCTAGACCTGCGAGGTAAGGGTTGCAAGAAAGCTGCAAAGATGAGTTAGGGGAATTTAATCTTTTTACCAAATTTAGCATATAACTTTATTACAATCCTGAACATTCACATAAATGACAGCATTTGCTAAATTAGGCTAGCCGTCTACCAGGATCAAGTATTTAAAGACTTCAGGTTAGAACAAACACAAAATCAAATTAAAAAAAATTAAATTACTTTAAAATTATTGACTTCTGAAGTAAATTCTGTTAGTCTGTCACATTGAACTATAACAGTTTTTAGCCTTAAAATAAAGGTGTTGAAGATTTTAGAATCAAGAATGTAACACACTTCCATGCATTTAAAAACATTTTATTGCAAGATGCCAACGTTCCAACTTTTTCCAGCTCTGAACCTTCACTGTGCCTGCACACACCCAGAGAAGTGATCGTTGTTCCTTGGAAAGTTTTCCCAATAGTCTCCATTTCACTGATAGATTCTTCGTGGCTCACGCAGAACGACACCACCCTCCTCCACAGCTTTTTTAAATTCCTGAATCTTGTTTAAAAGACAAAGAGACACAAATAAGTACAAAGAAAAGTATCAGCACCGACATATCAGTGGGGATGTGTTATGTGGAGGGGCAGAGAAGCATAATGCCAGGAACTGCAGCTCATCAAATCACCCTTTTGAGCACTGCAAGAAGGGATTGTCAAACCATGTAAGAAAACTAATGGTGAAGAGGAGTAAAATTAATGTTTAAAAAGGAAAAAAAACACCAAATAAGTGTCAGGAGATGGGTACTTGCCGAGTCACAACGATGTTCCCAGGGGATAACAGCTTTAAAGTTCACAAAGTTGATTCCTGCTTCCAAACAGCGCTGTGCCATTACATGGCCGAGGTTTTTGCATGCTGTTACTCCCTTGGGACTGTACAGGTGTCTCTTTATGGCCCACTCTCGGGTAGAGGCAGATACCACAACATCCCCATTACAGCGCTCAACAAAGGCTTCTACATAGTGCTGTGTCCGCTCGAGCCGTAATCTGAGTGAAGGGAAGAAAAACGAGGGGATGATGATGTCTCTTCCAGGTGTAAAGAGAGAAAACATTCAAACGCTTAAATGTTTAAGTGACTTACTTTAAATAAAACAACATACTGGAGCTATTAATATAATAATGACTTCTTAATGTTGCTTTTATTCTTACCTAGGTTTTTGCTTACACGAAATAGGTCTCAGTTTACCAGTTCAACACAGTGAAGTTGCAAAAGCAACTTTCCACCAGTCACGCAGTGACAGTCCTACGCTGCCTCACCCTGGCACTCACTCCAAGCCAAGCGCTGTACACCTGCACTTAGAGCTAGATGGGGACCTGCTCCAGCAGAAATGTAACCTCAGGTTTGCTGCACAGTCTCTTAAGGGCTTCTGCTTACACAGCAGGTAACAACTTCTCAGGATCACCAAGCAGTACTTCATAAGCCGTAACACACAACCACAGGGTATTAGGAGCAACTATTTTCTATTGCACTGAAACAATATCAGATTTCCACCTATGAACAAACTGGGCATGGTTCTCCCTTCAAGAAAAAAAAATAATGACTCTGAATCCCCAGCTTAAAATGAACTTATTTTCCACATGACAAGCAATCAGCATTTTCTAAAAAAACCTCAAAAAACCCAAACAACCCAAACCAATAAACCCCCCAACCAATCAACCAAACAAAAACTGCCAAAAACCAAACCAACAACCAAAACAACTCCAGTCTATTAAGGTGCCTCAAATTAAACAATGATGCATGGTCAGCACAGGACTAGGAGCATCCCGAGTTAGACAGTAGTTGCTTAAGCAATATTACTGCTACCTTAACAATAGAGGGAAAGATCTTCAATGCATATGCTAACTTTCATGTGACACTCACCTACTGTTCTCTGACCGCAGAAGATACCTGTTAATTAAGAACAACTAAGGGGATGACTGATTCAACAACCCAAAAAATGCATTTTGTAGGCATTCCACCTGGCAGATTTCTTAAATTTCTTTTACAGTCTTCATTTCTGCTGGTGGGTTTCTGACTCACCTATGCCAGAATTCACGTTTTGGCCACGTTGTCTTCCAGCCACGCTCCTTCCTAGCCAGGGCCAACAGCTCCAAGTTCCGAGGATTCCTGTTAGTGAAGTCGGGGGCAACAACCTCATTGTCACTTGTGTCCACTTCGGTCTCAGTTTTGAGACTGGTTGTAGTTGATGCAAAACAAAGACCTGGAGAGAAAGCAGGAAATAAAACCTCATAGTTAAAAAAATACAGCGTGGACAGTACAACAAATACATTACAGAAAAACACAGCTTGTAAAAGTTAGCAGGGAAAAAAAAATATGTTTTTTTAAACACTAAATAAATGGATTACCAGAGTCCAACCTGTTTCTCCAATTTATGAAGTGGCCTGTAAGCTAAAAGGGAAAAGTAAATTAACTTTTAACTGTGGTTCAAGACCACCCACGCATAAAGTATACATTCAAACACGACTGGAAGATCTCTAGGATAAATACAAAACAGCAAAAATGAATTACACAAGGAACCAGTGACCACGCTACCAAATAACAAGTTAAAAACCCTCAATCCCGTCAGGCTAATGGTCACTAATTACGGATTTGCAAGCACGGATTTGGAGTTAGGCTCGCAGACTCACTCTGCTACACAACTTTCAGTCCAGAGAGGCGGCGGGAACCTCTCACCAGGGTGCGGGTCAGGGCCTCTCCTTATCGCCCCGCCCGGCCCGGCCCGGCCCGGCCAGAGACGCACCGGCAGCAACCCCGTCCCACAGCAGGCTGAGCGATCGCTACAGGCGGG